TTTTCTAAGGAATCTCCATGCTGCTTTCCAGATTGGTTGCACCAATTTGCAGTCCCACCAGCAAGGTATGAGTGTGCCTTTTCCCCTACATCCTCACCAATACTTACTGTTGTATGTATTCTTGAAAGCTGCCATCCTGACTGGCATGAGATGGAATCTTCAGAGTAGTTTTGATTTGCATTTCTCTAATTACTAGAGATGTTGAACATCTTTTCAAATATTTCTTGATTGATTGTATATCTTCTTCTGAGAAGTGTCTCTTCAGCTCTTTAGCCCATTTATGGATTGGGTTTTTTTTCTGATGTTAAGTTTTTTGAGTTATTTATATACCATAGAGACTACTGTTATATCTGATGTGTGTGTGGTAAAAATTTGCCCCCAAAATGTAGGATCTCTGTCCACCTCTTGTTATTTGTATTCTTGGTAAATGCCATCCTGACTGGAGTGAGATGGAATCTCAGTGTAGTTTTAAGTTGCATTGTGATTTTTAACATTAATCAAAGGTTATCCGTATCTAGTTGTAATTTTTTTAACTAAAATTTAAATCACTATCTAGTACTTCCCTAAGATCTCAAAGAGATGAACCAAAACATGGTAGAGGATAGGAATAAACAGAAGTACTCAGGAATATTTGTTGTCACTTACTACCTAACTGTGTTTTTCAACCTGAGCTCAAGCAAGAAATGAAGAGCAATGTCCAAAGGAGCTCTAGGGGTCACAAAATTTGGAGGGTATTGAATATATTTCCTGACTTAGAAGTAAATTTCACTCAGTAGCAACAAATTTGAAGAATCGGTGGATCTAAAGAGCAACTGGTTCCTGTAAGACAAGGCTTGTTTAGAGTCATAAAGTCTGCTTTGAAATGAACCTTGCCACATTCTAGCAGATAAGACTATTGCTGTGTGATTAGAGTTTTCAGTATCTACTGTTCTTAGTGTCTTTGGTTACAGGATTGAATCAAATTTAGAAGGGAAAAAACCTTCAGAATCTAGAAAAGAAATTATTTGTACTCATGTTGAAATCTATGATGACTTCTGTAAATACTAGTATATCTGAATGCATTTTTAATTAAAACTTTTATTGGAATGCATTAATCAGAATGGTGGATTTCAAATATGCCACATTTAATGCATTTTTATAGCTACTGCAGTGTCGACTGTGTGGTTAACCGCACACAGTAACAGTCTTTTTGTCATCACCACCCATCCCTCCCCCACAGATACGAGGCAAAGGAATACTACGAGGCACTTCCAGAGCTTCAGCTGGCCATCGATCAAATTGATAATGGGTTCTTTTCTCCTAAGCAACCCGACCTCTTCAAAGATATCGTCAATATGCTGTTTTATCATGACAGGTGAGTTCCTATAAGAAGATGGTGCGATTTAGGCTGTGAAATGGGAAGAGAACTTCTTTAACTACAGCCCATTCGTATAGATCAGCTTAGGTCTATGATCTGATCAGCTAACTAAGCTTGGGGGTGGGAGGATGGGAAGAGTCTTCACCAATGGTGCTACTAAGATTTAAGAATAAGACCCTCAAACCTGGCATACTTTTTCGTCTTCCACTGATATAGTCAACTTTCTAACATACATATTTTCATATATTTAAATGTGGGAAGAACCATAAAAATGTTGAGGGCTGGCAATCATTCTTATGAACAGGTAAACCAGCCACGCCTGACATTAAGCAAAAGAGAATTTTAAGTAGAATCTTAGCTTGCATCTGTTAATGAAACCTTCTGTTGTTTTGTTTTTTCCTTCTAACCGCCCCCTCTGAAAAAAAAAAAAAAAACAGATTTAAAGTCTTTGCAGACTATGAAGCCTATGTCAAATGTCAAGAAAAAGTCAGTCAGCTGTACATGGTGAGTAAATTTTGTGGAGATTTGTGAAAGAACCCAGTTTAGTATGATTAAACTTTTTGTTTCAGTAAATCTAAATATCAGGTCCTCCCCTAATCAATCACCAATAGGTGGGGTTTGGGGTATGCCTCAGTGGTAGAGTATATGCCTAACATATATAAGGAAGGCCTTGGGTTTGATCCCCAGCACCACAAGAGAAAAATGAAATGAGGTAAATATTCAGATTGTTCAGATCAAAACTTGACTTTTCATAAGTTTAGGCAGAGGTTGGGATTCAAGATTTCAGTAATAATTGTAAAATTTTTTAATACCCGAGTAAAAATCACATTTATTGAGCATATAGCAGCAGGTAGCAGGCACATTCTAGAAGTTCAGGGTATAAATCCTTAGAAAGACACTTGGGGTCTTCATGACAAGCACCATGCTTGGCACTGAGAGTAAAGCACAGACAAGAAAGGAGATTTGTGCCCAGCTTCCCTCAAGCAACCTGCACTGCAGAATTCTTCACCAGGGGTGTACATCACAATCACCAAGGCCGCTATTATAAAGTATGGATATGCCCTCCCACACACACACACACTGCTGTCCTCTGCTGCCTCACCTGAGATTCTGACCCAGCAGTGTGTGGTATCCACCATTAGTATTTGGAAAACCTGCCAAGATGATTCTAAGGTTGAGCCTTAGTTTATTGGAATAAGAACTGACCCCCCCACCCCATTCTTTGAAAAATTGCAAAGTAAATACCTCTCCTCAACTACTAGAGTAGGGCTATAAAAATAAAATAAAACTATATAGAAGGAGGAGAGTTTTTATGTTTGGATTTTTTTTCAAATTATACAGAAAAATAAAATAATAGCTAGAGTCACGTGAATAAGGCTCACATGCAAAGTGGTACACCTTTATCAAATAGTCCTCTAGGTGTATTTTGCAAGGATGTGTCAAGGTGGATCATGTCTGATAAGAGAGACTTGGAGAATTTCAGGTCCTCCCAGTGGAATGGATACAGGAGAGGCAGCTCTGTGCCAAGACTCCTGGGACGGCACCACTAACTTTGTTTTCTATTCCTTTTCCAAGACAGGTGACAGGTAGTTCCTACTCATCGTAGGTATCCTATTGGGGTTTTCAAATGGGATTACTCAAGGTCTGTGCTGCTTTCTGGCCACTATCTTCTGGTTTGAGTCACACCCATCCCCCAACAGTGTATAGATCAGAGAAGTTGGTAACAGCTTTGAACAAGTGAGACCGCACTAGAGCTAAGCTACATCACTACCTGTTTCTTGAGCTTTGGAGGCAGCAGCCACATACAGCCATCATGAACTCAAAGACAGATAAAGGGAAATGTAAGTAGAACAGAGCAGGAAAGGAAAATATGAACAAGGACAGGGACAAATGTAAATGTCAGTTTTACACAGGGGATCTCCTCTGTAAATGTGTGGCCCAATCCCAAAGTGATGACCATCTAGAAGCCCAGGATGTGATTCCATCTTGCTTGTTTATTAATGCAAATTGCAGTTTTCTACTCTTAACAGTATTATGTTCTTGAGGCTTAGTAAACATGACCTACCTAGCTGGGAAAGCTGTTCATTATGCATTTAAGCAGTTGAAGAAAGGGAAGAAAGGTGTTGTCTTCTTGTTGTGTCCTCCCAGTGGAAGTTTTGTTATCATAGTAAGTTTCAAAAGTCTGAACTAACTTCAGTAACTTCAGGTTTGATGGTAGTTTCAGTCTTGCTCTTAAAGGCTTATAATGCATGGTTAACAACTTTGAGTAGCTCTCAGTTAACTTTCAGAGTTCTTTGGAAAATCATGAGACTATAAGTTAAACATCATTTTATAGTATTTTACATAAAATCATAAAATTGTGATATTATATTTTTATTAAGGTGTCTTGTTTCACCCTGTTTTGGAACCCCAATGGGGTATTTGGAATTTAGTGTAAACCTACTAGGCCATATACTCCGGAAAGAACAAGAGAAGCTAAGTGGGTCAACAGAGTCTTTCACTGTTTTGTAGCTGACATTCTGGAGCAGAGATTTTTCATACTTTGTGAGACACATGTTAAATCTCTTGACATGGCATCTTGCAGACAATGAATGTTAGTCTCTTCCCGCCCCATAGTTTAAAGGGAGGTGCCCTCCTTCAAAATAGAGCATGGGAAATGTATATAACTTACATGCCAAAGCATTTTAAGTATAGGAAGAATTACCAACTAGAAAATTCACACCCATAGTTTCTCTTAAAATGAAAAAAAATTTTTTTTGTTTCTCAGAGAAGTATACTCTGAATATGAGAAAAGTGCATTCCATACCTATCTGTCAACTGTGGAGACAATGTGTTTGTAATTCATTCTAGTTTACTCCTGTCATTTTCTCCATGAAATATGCTTGGTCTGATGTTTGTCATGAAGCTCGCTGGCACTCAGGCTGTACCCGCATATTTTGTTCACAGAATCAGAAAGCCTGGAACATGATGGTACTCAAAAACATAGCTGCCTCTGGGAAATTCTCCAGTGACCGGACAATTAAGGAATATGCCAGGGACATCTGGAACATGGAGCCTTCGGATCTAAAGATCTCCCTGTCCAATGAATCTAGGAATGGAGTGGACAAAGCCAATGGAAATTGAATCATAACATGTCTCTAAAAAAAAAAAAAAGAGCTTCTTATTGAATTTGAACATTTTCACAGCATTCATTGATTTATTAGCTAATAGTTAAGTATCTCTGAGAATGGAAAGGGAACATGTATGGTTGTATTTAGGACTGAAAATAAAGTGTCAATTTCTGAAGACTCCAGGAGTGCCAAAACTTATTGCTTTATAGCAGATTGGTAGCCTGCAAGGACTTAACCCAAAACTAATCAGAAAGTTGGAAAAGTGCTTAGAACTTGATACTGCTATTTAAATGAATTAAACAAAAACAAATTCTTTAACTACAGTGAAGCACTGTTTTTTTTTAAATATCTTCATTTATTTATTTTTATGTGATACCGAGGATCAAACCCAGTGCCTCACACATGCAAGGCAGGTGCTCTACCACTGAGCTACAGCCCCAGCCCGAAGCATCTTTATTTAATACTGCTAAGTCCAAACCAAAGACTATATCTTAGTCTATTCAGGCTGCTGTAACCAAATGTCATAAACGGAATAACTTATAAACAATAGAAATTTATTTCTCATAGTTCTGGCAATTAGAAGTCCAAAATCAAGGGGCTAGCAGATTCAGTGTCTAGTGGGGACCACTTTCTGTTCATGGGTGTGGTCTTCTTGTTGTGTCCTCCCAGTGGAAGAGGTACAGAGCTCTTTGGGCCTATTTCATAAGGACAGTAATCCTGTTCATGACTGAACCCTCATGATCCAGTCACCTCCCCAACATCATAACCTTCGACATATGAATTTGGGGGCAGGTGCAGATGTTCCCACCATAGCAAATGTCCCCAGTCTGATGACTATACATTTTTAGATGAGATACAAATTTTACCAAATTCTGATTCTCCACAGTGATGAGGTTTCGGCATGTTTCAAAGTAGACTATGATGAGCTAAATGAGAACATTCCAGGCCACCCATACATTCTCCTTGTTTAGATGACACGTGTCTTGGGGAAGTGTCCGTGGTTTCAGCTCGTTCAAGCATCCCAGTAGAATGTTGCATAAGGAAAATACACCTTATAGGTAGTATTTGGACCAAGTCTTCAGTGAAGATTGCTGCTGCTCGCATGACCTCATGCCCACTGCTCACTCAGGAAATCTCTGCAGAAAAAAGAACCTAGATCAGCCCACACCTTCCTTCCTTAGATCCAGGTAAGCCAGAGCAGTCCTAATTGCTTTTACAGGAAAATAGATGTATTCAAAAAGCAGTTCTTACCTCACGGTTTTTAATAGTATGGGACTTTTATAAAGGAAATTGTGATGGAAACCAGGAGGAAAGATAACCATCTTGACCCTCTCTTTGTGCCTGTAGGCATCATGTGCAATTTCATAGAGCTGAAAGAAAAAGAAAAAAAGGGACTCAAAGGCCAACAGTTCAAAGCCATAGGCTCCCTATATGATTTTCCTAAAAAGGTACAGAAACAACCAACTTGGGGAGTTTATCTCATTGGTTCAGAGACATGAGGCCTCTCCATGTCCCCAGCTAGCTGCCTCTACAGCTAAGGAAAAGAAGGCTGCACAGCCAATATAGGACACTGATCAACCCTCATCCTCCTCTGCCTGTACCTCACTGCAGAGGAACAGGGTAAGTTATGGACCTACTCCAGGAGAGGTTAGTTTAAAGGGAAAAACTGCATCCCTAATTTTAGAGCCACTACAGTAGAAGCAACATTTTGTGGTTTGGCTATGAAATGTCCACCCAGAGCTTACGTTAGACCGTAGGAATATTTGGAGGAGAAATGATCAGACTATGAGAACTGTAATAATCCATTTAATTATTTGAAAACACTACCATCCTAGGTGGTGACTGTAGGTGGGTAGGTTGTGGCTAAAGGCAGGCAGTCGCTGGAGGCATGCTCTAGGGGATTAGATCTCCAGTCCCTGGCTCCTTGATCCTTCTCTCTCCTTCCTGGCTGCCAGGAGCCCAGGAGCTTCCCTCCACCATGCCCTTTCACTATAGTCTTTCACCATGGACTGAGACCTCTAGAACAGTGAGCCAGAATAAACTCTTCCTCCTCTAAATTGTTCTTCTCAGATGTTTTGATTAGAGCAACAAAAAGCTGACCAACACAAACATGGAGCTTCCCACACAGCCTGGAATCTTCTCTCCACTTAGGAACCACAGACCCCACATGAGGGGCCCAACTCCACCCACAAACATGCCTTTGAGCTAAGTAGCCAAAGGCACTGAAATCTGTTGTGGAAACCCCAGGCATCATGGCTGTTTAAGGGTGCAGAATCCCCTATACTGTTGGAGATCTTCCTTAAAACTAACCAAAGTTCAGCTGGCTGAAAAAAAAAAAAAAGAAAGAAATGCATATATGAGTTTCAGTGGGCTCTGAGCTTATCGTTTACCTTTTTTCCACACTCCAAAGGTACAGTCCTGTCATCCTCTCCATGTAAGATGAGCAGGGGAGAAGACAGGAATTTAACACTGAGACAAGTGGGAGAAAAGCATTCAGTTCAGGAGCTGTACATTGAGATCTCTCCTTTTCTTTCTTTTTTTTTTTTTTCAAAGTTAATACCTTTTTCCTTTCTCACATATAAAAAGAACTAATTTCATGATAAAAATAATAATCATGATGATAATGGATAAACTATCATTATTCAGTCTCTTCCCAAATAACCTAAAGAGCTATAAGATCACCAGTATCTAGAGCAATGGTTGGCACATATTAGGCACTACTCAAATAGTTTTTTGAAGACATACAAGGAAGAAGAAGATCTCTCCTTTTCTCAGGTAAAGTTTTAGCAAAACATAAAGTTCATCGAAAACTTCATTTACAAGAAATCTCCTTCCTTCCAAAGAATAACAGCTTCATGTATTAAAAAATTGCATAGGGTAACTTTTTTTCCAGGAAAATGTCCTTTTAAACAATTTGAATATTTCATTAATTTAACTTACTTCTATCTGACTTTGGGAAATACTGAAGAAATACACTGAGATGCTGAATTTGCACAATGTTAGAAGACCTTGTATTTTTCCTTATTCCACCTTATTTTGTATTATCTGAATATTTTAATTAAAAGAATATAAAAGAAAATAACTCAAAACCCGAAAATAATAAAAATTATCACAGATCCAGAGACCTCTTTGGGGCAATTAATTTACCTTTCCCATAATAGTAGAGGATGGACATGCAGTTGACAAGCTTTTGACTGGCTTCCTGGTCAGTCTCTTAATTTGGTTATCCAAAAAGGCTACGGCACAAACAGTGCCTTGATGCCCACTCGAGTGACTTTCTCAAACAGTGCTTCTCAGTCCTTCCCAAATTCTGATACCCATCCACCCCTGCCATGGTGACTTTGCGCCACCTCTGAGCACCTTAGGCGTGTTAAAATACAAACAAAATTGACCACCACAATTAGAAATATTCTCAAATTTCATAAATTCACTGGATCTGCTGTTGGGTTTGGAGGATGGATATCAAGTGGATTTGGGTTACATGGGGAATGAGGCCTAGAAGTCAGAGACCCCTTAAGAAATGTTAGACTAGACCCTAGAGAACCTTTAAAAGGTCTTATAGGTCCTAAATATACAAGTCTGAATTCATAGGGAAAACTGTACTGGTGAAGACATTGGATTAGACAAGAGGGAAATAGCAAATATTAAAAATTCATAGAAACTCTAGCCCAAAGCCTAGTGTCCATCTAAGAATGCTAGAGCAATATTCTAAGAAAATAAGGACAGGATTTAGATCTGTCATCACCGTAAGTTACATATAAGTTAACCTGGAACCCTGCAGATGGAGCAACAGTGGAGCTTCTCATCAGAGCTTACTTTTCATCACTGGGGAAGACTATCCTGTCTTTTCTCAGGGCATCCATAAGCACCTGTACACATCCTGGCAGCTTCTGGTAAATCTATTAAAAAAAAAAAAAGCAACATTAATCATTGTCCCACCTAGCTGTGCCATTTGTTATAGTTTCTCACCACAAGCCATACTAACAGAAAGTAGCAACTTTCTAAATATAATGAACTTTTTTTAGAAAACTTATGATTTTAAAAGGTAATTCATGTTTTGTAGGAAATTTGGGGGAAAAGAACAGAAAGGAACAAAGAGACAAGTTTTATGTATTTCTACCACTGTAGATAATCAGTTAACATAATTAACTAGTTTAGATGGAGAACAATATTCTGATCAGTCAAAAATTCTGTGAATCCCCCAAAACCAAAGACTGAAAGTTTTCTCTTGATATGTAGATTCTAATTCACAATGGGGGGTGGAGGTTGGTTCTTGGGAAGAATAGAGGTACTTTGAATTAGGCAGAGGGGAGTGAAGGGTGAGGGGAGATGGGGGTAAAAAGAATGGTAGAATGAATCAGACATTATTACCTTATGTTCATATATGAGTACACAACTGGTATGATTCTACAGAATGAGAAATTATAATACTCCATATATGTATGATGTGTTAAAGTGCATTCTACTTTCATGTATAACTACTTAGAACAAATAAAAATAAAAATTTTAAAAATTTTAAAATTCTGGTGAAAGTATACAATATCTAGATAATTGGTTTGAGAGGATTTGAACATTATAAACTGTTGAAATAATGTTATAATTCTTTAAAAGAGATTTTAAGTTTTAACAATAACCACAGAGCTCCAAAGGTAATATATTATTCTATAAATACCGTATTCCTTCTTTAAAGGCAAAGTCCAATAAATAGAAAGCTAACTAAATCTTTTCCACTATTTTGATTGTCAACACATAAATTAGTTTATATGCCTTACAAACATCCACTTCAGTTGAAAGTGAAGAGTAAAGGATGGAAGCCCTGAGCAGTCCAGCAGCTTCCTCACACCTTTGAACCTGCTTCCACACCATATCCAATTCCCACCATTACCCAGCCCAAGTCACCTCTCTCTCTTGCTTGGACTCTGCCAACAGTCCAAAATGGTTCCCTGCTTCCACCCTCACCATTTCTTACAGGGACACCAGAGTGATCACTTAAACATGCAAATTAGATCATATCAATGTTTCTTTTGCTTAGCAGCCTCCAAAGGCACATGTTGAATCAAACGTGTCACCTTGGTCTTTGAGGCCCTGCAGCACCTGGTTGGTGGCTGCCTGTTTGCAACCTCATTTGTCATTAAGGCCTCACTGCCCACCTTCAGGGAGATTACTGCCTCCTGTTCAGGATCATGCCAAGCTTGATCCTACCCCAAGGCCCTCACCTTTATTTTTCTCTTTTAGTAGACAATGTGGTAGTCCCAAATGTGGTAGCCCCAAAGCTTTAGCGGCTCTAACACTTCTTGGTCAGAGACCGCTGGATTATGCCATGGCAAAACTGACTAGTATCAGCTCAGAGGACATTTCTTCAGAGAGGTTTTCCTAACTAGCCATAACTCTGGCCCTCCACCACCCATTTGCTCCCCATCACATTATTGTATTGGGTTCACAGCACTTCTCATTATTTGGTATTTTCTGGTGGTATACTTGTCTTCTCTGTTTCTCCAGCAAGAATATAAACTTTCATAGGAGGAGGAATCAGGAATTCTTTTTCCTTGTGGGATCCCCAGAACTTGGAATAATTTCTGGTATATAGTACACATTCAATAAATATTTGTTAAAGATGGAAATATTATGCAAATATACCTGGTATACATTTTGAATACTATCTGTAATTTTCCTCTTAGAGTAACTGATTTTCAGGTTTCATTTCTTAAAACAGACTTGCAAAGAAGAAAGACCAGGTGTAGCAGAGGGTAGGGGTGCAATATAGTAAACAGGACACCACCAAGAGAAGAAAATGAGCACAGAATAGGTAAACCAGGGTGAATAAAGACAAACTACAGCTTCATTGTTTGTAAAAAAGGAAAAAAAAATCATTGAAATCTGCCCCATGGCTACAAAGTCACTTCTTAAGAGTCTCCTGCTATGAACTGTGGTAATATAGAGAAGAGTAACTTTTTAAATATAATTATTTTTTCACTTTTTTTCTGATTTTAAAAAGTATTCTGTGTCCTCATAAGGAATAGGGAGGCCAGCACCAGTAAATATAGATTTCTGCTTCACAGCTGGGGCTCAGGCTTGAGTGCTACTTCCAAGAACCTCCTTGGTTTCACAGGATTGTCTGGCTTGCTCTTTTGCTTGGTCTCTGAGCAAGTGACACACATTCAGGAAAGATCTGGACAGCCTGGCACAGCCCCGCTCTTTCTTCCTCCATGCTAAGGGCCAGTTTTCTTCATTTATTTTCTCTTTTCTTTGTCTTTCAATTTTCTGACTCCTAGAATGAGAACTCCTTGGAGGAAAATTCAGTAAGAGAAGCCCTTCAGCAATTCATCTCAAATTCCAAAAGTGTAGGAAGAAAGCAAACTCAAGTCAATCTACTCCATTGTTCCTCACTCCCTTTCAGCCTGGGATGCCCTTAAAGACACAGAGGTCATACTGTCCCCACCCGCCCAGACCACAGCAAGGGGCTCCTAATTTGCCTTCCTCACTTCCCCTCTCTTCTGTAATGCCACCAGATAAATATTCTTAAGATACCATCTGCATGGTAAAACCTGCTATTACAAAACTTTGGGCCTGCCACACTGTCTACTAAAAACAACTTCTAGCTTGACTACAAGCTCATTCACATCTGGCCACCCTTTTTCATTCCAAAGGCTGCTCACCTCCAATCCATCTGGAGTTAGAAGGGGTTTCCTCCTCTTACAAGGTATGTGACAATTAGGGAAGTCTCTATGGCTCCAGTACTTTATTTAAATCTCTCTCTCTCTCTCTCTCTCTCTCTCTCTCTCTCTCTCT